TTGTCATCATATGTTGGGAGATCCATCCTACTTATTCGCGTTGATGAAATGAGATCATGACCACTTCCAGAATCCAATATGAATCTCTTGTCTCTCTCCTCAACAGGAACAGTGATACACATTGTGTTGCCCCTTTTACCATATCGACCTTCAATATGCTGGACATAATTCTCCACAAAGACTTCCCTAGACACCTCACCGTCCTCGATGTCGAGTCTGATCAGAATGTCCATGCTAGGGCCGACGATGACCAGGACTTCATCAATGTCACTGTATTCACCCTTCTCATCGATCAGGATAGCCATTGCTTTCCCTCGGCTTGACGCTAACCTGCATGAATAAGACCATTGTTCATCTTTCCTTATCTGATCAGTGGGCTTACCAACCTTATCATGACCTTTGGAGATAGTTTGGGATTTCCGGCTGCACTTCACGAAGTCCTTCTTTACGTAAGTTTGAACGTGGGTCTTGGACTCATCAAATCTGACCTTCTTCCTGACCACGTTCGATGCAACTTTGTGGAACGTCCCTTCATCATCACTCCAATCATGGATAAGTGCAGGAGTAGCCTTTGAGCTTGATGCTTCAGTGTTCGGAGCAGTGTTGAATAGATGAGGATCGTGGCGTTTGTTGCATTTGTCTCCATACCGACACTTGCCTTTAGCCCAATGCCAGCATGGTTCGTCAACCTTCTTGGTCTTGTTTGCCGGAGATTGACTTCTTGGAGTTCCTGGCTTCCGACCATTCCCTTTTGCGTTCTTGTTCGCATCAAACACCTTTTGATCATGACTATATTCACAATCTTTGCCCTTCCTGCATGATTTCTTGATGAAATGGAAATGGCATGGGATCTTCTTCTTGGATCTAGGGCTTGTACTTCGGCTGTTTGCTCGATCCTTTCCTTTCCCTTGACCTTTCCCTTTTCCTTTTGCATGCTGTTTAGGCTGAGGTGATGGTAGAACTGGAGCTGCATCGGCCTTGGCCTTCGCCTTGGGCGCTGCCTTCTCCTTGGGAGTAGCTTTAGGCTTCGCTTTTGGATTTGCATCCGGTGCAGCAGCAGTTGGATTTGTGGCAGGAGCTGTAGGTTTGCCGCCACCTGCAAAGTCTCTTGCATACTTCTCTCTAGCGGCCACATGCTTGTCCTCTCTGATTCTGGAGATGTGCCTTTCGATGACGTCCAACAGATAGCGATAGTTTCGTCTTTGGTCTCCTTCAATCCATGACTCGTACTGCTTGATGTCAAACATCATAAGACTCGAATTTCGAATCTTCTTGTATAGAGCGTCACGAAGCCAATCATCAGGAGGTACATCATCCGGCATCATGTTTGATACCATCTCCATCCATTTCTCGTAGAACACTTCCAGGTTTGAGTCACCGAGATATTTCATCGATACGATGTGCTCCATGGTGAAGGCTGTCTCTCGTTGACCTGGGGTTCTGAAGTGCTCCAGGATCATAGCCAAGATTTCCCGTCCCATGACATAGGTTCCTCTTCGACTATGACTTTGTGTTCTCAATCTCAATTTGATCGCTACATGACGAGCAACATCGCCGGCTTGGGCTATCACGTTTGACAACGCAATTGACAACTTGGCGTCGATGGACTGATACCGTTGCCCTCCACTGTCATTTAATAGCTCGATGTCAGGATTTGGTCGAATAGCCGGCTGTAGCCATGCTTCCCATGCGGCTTTGTCCCCATCATTTGCAGAAAGAACAACACTCTTGATGAGATCTGATTGCCAAACCCCAAGATTCTGTTGCTTCGGCCATGGGCTAACATAGACTTTGTCAGCCTCCCGTCTTGACATTCTCGGCACTTCTTCTGCAGTGTAAGCCACTGTGGAGACATCATCTGCTGAATCGCGTTGTGATCCTCGAACTGAAGGCAAACCTGGAGGCTCGGGAGGTGGTCCTGGACCGTTAGGCCCGAAAGGGTCAGGAGGTCCATCAGGGTCAGGCGGACCGCCCCATCCACTCGGTGGCTTGTAGTAGTCCCTCTCAGTTCCATCAGCGATCTTGTTGTCAACTTCTTTCAGCAGATCAGTGATTCTTTTGCTTGATTGAGAAGGTTGTCGTTGAGAAGGTACAGCATGTTCACGATAAGAATGAGCCATATTTGTCTCATAGTTCAACTCCTTGTCGATCTGCGACACCCAAGATTTCAGAATAGCGTTTTCACAGTTAGCCTCACTCACGTCATTCTCCAGTTTGTCGATGACTAGTCTTGATGCGAGATCGTAGTTGGGGATGCCTGCCGAATAGGGAAGTGTGTCAGGGCTGACCCTAGATATAGATGTTTCAGAATCCTTGAGACTCTTTCTCAGTTCATCTAAGTGACGGTTCATGTCAACAATCTCAGAATTCTTGATACCGATCTTTTCATCCCTATCCTGGATTTCCCCCATGAACATGCATGATCTCTCATACTGTTGAACACCACTAGCCAACTTCATTTTGCGCTCATTCTCTAGTTCAGATTTTAGAGTTCGGACCTCAGCGTTGGTGAGGGACGACGTCCCTACATCCGCAACTTCAGCCAATCTCTCCTTTAACAATATGTTCTCTTGTAAACATTCATGAACTTCATGATCTAGGTCCTGAACCCTGATTTGAGCGATTTTGGCTTGATTACGTAGATCTTCAACAAGCATCTCATCGGGGCCACGACCGTCGGTCGTAGTACCCTGAGTCAACGATCTTCGCAACTTCGTGTTCTGCAACTTGATCTCATCCTTTAATTCGCAGTTCATCTCCTGCTCGTTGGCATAGAGCTCTTCATAGTGCTCTGCCCTTGCGATCGAGTTTGCACTAGCCTGTGATTCAAGCCTCAGGTGTGATATTGCTTCGGCCTCTTGGTTCCTGTATGATGCAATTCTTCTGACGGTATCATGTTCAGTGTTTCGATGCTTCAGATCACTTTCCAATTTGGCCTGATTTGCCTCGAAAACCTTCTTCCTAGATTCTCTAGTGATCTCGTCAATACTGCTTTCATACAGCTCGGCCTGTTTACGAGACTGAACTAAAGCTTCACTCAATAGCTGATTCCGTTCAGATAATTCATGAACTGCAATTGATTGTTGTTGGCTAATCACTTCGAGTTGGTTGCTAGAGAAGGATGCCATTTCGGATCGATTACGATATTCCATGATTGAGTTCTGGAAATCTGTCTGCATTTCTTGACCTTCATTGTATAGTCGATTGGCAATATCGGTGGTTAAGACATTGGTTTGATGAAGTTGTTGCAGTCTTGCCTCCGTATTACCCAATAGTCCTTGAAGGTGATGTACTTCATCCTTGTACTCCTCCTGGATCTCCATACCACGTTGATGGATACGTCGTGCACCATGTTCCATTAGGGCACCTCGGCGTTCAAGGTCTTGGATGCGTATTGTTGCACCTTCGTCTTCCTGAGATGCTACCATTAGTTCTGCTTGATATTCTGCAACCTCATTTGCGGAACATGACAATCTATGATTGAGTGCATTGACCTCATCAAATACATTTTGGTTGTGTTCTTGAAGATACTCAGTGAATCTGATCTCGATGTCATGAATCAGTTGATCTCTAGATGCAGCGTATGCTTCCAGGTGGTTCAACTGATTACGTAGGGATTGACATTGTGCCCGTAGTTCTTCTATCATGGCAATAGGTTCACTAGCCACAGAAGTATCCGTTGATCTCCTCTTAACACGACTATCCCCGGTCCTCTCACCAATTCGGTCGGTTACGGCCCTGGTGGATCTGTCCCTTGGAGTAGTTCGTCCTCGAGATGGTCGATGCCCTTGGCGGACAACATCACTTCGTGCACTGTTTCGAGAAGATCTTGGTGTACTTTGGGTGGATATCCTTCGTCTGTTTGACGTAACTTGCCATCCGGATTGTGTAGTTCGGGTAGAGCGTATCCCACCACTGTCTGCCGTGTCACCAGGGGAAGATTGATTGACCTCCTCGACCGGCATGGCAGTGTTCTCATTGAAGGTAAACTGCGTGGTGCGCGAATCTCCGCTGCCGCCTTGCATCTTTGCGATGATGAGCTGATTGGTCCTTTGCGTCCTCAATCAATTGCTCAAAAGGCCCGGCTACCAGCACGCAGGTACCACTCTCCCGGCGGGAGAAGTGAGCCCTACGGCTGATAACCTGTGAACAAATGAATCCTTGTTCCGGATGTAGTCGAATGGTAGTACCTTATGTGCTGGTTGTTACCGAACCTTACCCAGGCATTGCAGTCAGCGCGCGGCCGTTTTCCTCTTGCGGGCACTTGAGCCATAATGGCCGTAACATTGTCAATTGTTACATGTGCTACCGCTGTGTTCCGTTTGGCATATATATATATATACACACATACATATATACATATACAATATACATATTATACATATACATGTATATATATATATACATATTATACGTATTTATACAGATATATATATATATATACATATTATACGTATTTATACAGATATATATATATATACACTTATTGTACATATTATACATATATATATATATACATATTATACATATTATACATATTATACATATTGTACATATTATATATATATATTACATATTATACATATTATACATATTATACATATTATACATATTATACATATATACATATACCTATAAAAATATTATACATATATATATATCTACATATTATACATTTATATATATATTATAGATAATATATACATATACATATATATATATATATATTCATATTATACATATATACATAAATACATATACATCTATACATATTATACATATATATATACATATATATATATACACATATATATATACATATATATATATACATATAAATATATACATATATAAACATATTATATATGTATACATATATATATACATATTATATATATACACATTATATATATACACATATTATATATATAATAGATAAATAGATATTACAGTATATTGGTATTATGATGTATGTCGTCATACCCAAAGGTCCATCTTTGCCTGTGTGGCGACGCTGCCGGGCGTGGTGGGCTCATCCTCCATGCTGGGAAGGAGGGCCACCTGGCTATCCACGTGACCGACGTGACCACCATGTCTTTTTGCCTGGCTATAATGGTTTTATGTTCTATGGATCATGAGCTTGTGATGTTATATGTAGCTATATGTAGCTCTATTATGTAGTTATGAGCTTAAGTTGTACTTAAGTTTTGTAGTTACCCTGGGAAAAAAAACTAAGACAGAGGTGGAACATGGCCCATATATTCACGAATTACCTGTTAAAAATCATAATGTGTCACATCTATGTTAGTTTATAGGATAGGTATAGCTTCTTAGAATTCAGATTCTTAGATTCGGGATCATGAGATTGTTGCGACAGGATTCTTGATTCATGAGATATCACGAGTTTATTTGTTAGGATATTTGGATATAAACTACGGATAGAGAGGCCTCAAACACACTGGATCAATGTGGAAAAACGGTAAACCCAACACGGCTAACTACTGTACTTAGGCGGCTAACCTCTTAACAATTTTGATCAAAAGACTCTGATCATTCCGGCTCCCTTGATCAACTGGATTGATTCCCAGTGGTATGGTCAACCTTCCGAATCAGATACTGATGGACTCATGGTTTCCTGTGTGCGTCTGAAGCCAACAAGAAGGTTGGACGCTCATGGACCATTGAACCCAACATAAGATGTTGACGCGTCCAAGCCATTCCAAGCGTTTCTGATACGCTATGGATTTCCCCTAGAATAATATATCATAACACGTATTAATGGTCACATGTCAAGTCTTGTCACATCCCAATCTTGTCTTATCCCCAACATGGAACAGAAAATCGCCCCGAATTCCTCAAAATTAGCCCATAATAGCCTATAATAGCCCATAGTTCCTTATATGGATGATAAGCCCATGGGAAATTCATCCATCATCCCTTGAGGTCTCCAACCCAGTCGTTGGGCTCGCTCAAAGGTGGGCTGAAGCGTGATTCCGTGAAGAAGGGATGGCTGCCTCGCTTTTGGCTCGGAAAGGAAAAAATATGTCGGAACTGCTTTGGGGGAGATCATTCTTCATGGTATAACCATGGTATAACCATGGTATAACCATGGTATAACCATGGTATAACCATGGTATAACCATGGTATAACCATGGTATAACCATGGCATAACCATGGTATAACCATGGTATAACCATGGTATAACCATGGCATAACCATGGCATAACCATGGCATAACCATGGCATAACCATGGTATAACCATGGTATAACCATGGTATAACCATGGTATAACCATGGTATAACCATGGTATAACCATGGTATAACCATGGTATAACCATGGTATAACCATGGTATAAACATGGTATAACCATGGTATACCCAATTTCAACATATTTCAACCTCAAACTTGGGGATGGTTTATGCTTGGCTTTATCACCTCTAAGTTATCTATAGTTTGATCACCTTGATCCTGCTTGGAAGCTGAGAGTCCGGACGCAATTGACTGGCCGTTCCCCGTTGCAAGGGTTCACTGGAGGTCGTCCTGTGCCAAGTGTGCCACGCTCTCGGATTGGTTAGTTAAACAAACATGCTTCTTATCCATGTCTTGGTCTCAACATCTGATAAGATCCTTGCTTCTTCTATCCCACATGCTCAGTGATTCATACGGTTTGCCATGGTCAATTTTGAATACTCGGGAATCAATGTGGCCTGAATTATCCCAAAGCTAAATCAAAAATTATCCAAAAAATTGCAGTCATCTGAAACCACTAGTGTCATCAACAACCCTTCATTCACAAGAGGTACCCTCCAGTATATTAACATGACGACCCTGCCAATGGCAGGGGCTTGGAAGATTAGTTTCCACCAAAAACTCAGGATTTTCAGGCTCCAACTGTTGAGAATCGGTGGTGGCATCCCTACCGGGTTACCGGCTCGCTGAGCGGCGCACACATCGATGAAGGAGAACGCCAACTCCGACCTAGCTCAACTGCTGCTCTGCTTAAGGCTGGAGCAGATTTTCACCAGGGGTCATCAAATCCAGCATGTAGGAAGTAGAAATTTCCAGGAAATCCAATACATCAATACATCCCAGCAAAGAGTCAGCTTGGCAGCTTCAGATTGAGGTGCAGGGAGTTCACTCAATGGATTGATGAGGGAACAGCTACGGGAAACCATTGGCTTTTGACTTTGGTGCCTTTGGATGGAGCTGCAGATTTACCCTTCAAAGCCTACTTAGTAAGTCCCTGTTTCCTGGGTGATCCCATTTATAAATCCCTTGGAAAACCCCACAAACACTATATGGTGATTGGAAGTAGGCTGATCCTCCAAGTATCAACCTCTATCAAGCATTATCAACCTATTACATTAATTATTAACAATATTTTTTAACCATGTTGAACCACCATTATAGCATGTTATACCATATTACACCATATTAAACCATTGATCATAATTGTTTCACCCAGGTACAGCATCTAACCCCCCTGGCCAGCCAATCATGTCTGGGCATGCCCGACAGTTGCCTGCAGCTACCGGCCTCACTGGTTTCATGACTTGGATGATTGAAGGGTACACCCAGACTTAGGAAACCTGGGAGTAGGGAATGCGCCCCCAAAAAATGTGATTAGCGTTTCGTATTTTCACGAGCAATGATGAAATATGATGAACTACAACTGAGAAACCCATAGAAATCCTTGGATTTTGAAGGACCTGGAAAGCTTCTCGTTGAAAACAAAAAAAATTAGCTATGAGTCAATGAGTCAAGTCATTGGGGGTGGCATTTGGGTGGCCTAATCCCCTGACATCATGGATAAAAAACATCCCCAAATCAACCATCAGCCAGCTGTCTGAAGCATGAATTCACAGCTGAGTTAAGTCCCAAAACTTCTAGACTCTTCAGATTTTGCTTATGACATATCTTGAAATCTGATCTGTTTGCTGGTGAATTCACGAATGGATGTTGAAACATGAGTTGAGCCTTCTGTAAATCAAACCTGGCAATGGCTTAAATGGCTTAAATACCCTATAGATATTCACAGATGGTGTTCTCATCAAAACATATTAAACCATTTACCCTCTGGTAAACTAACATAACTATGGGGAAATCACAATTTTCTAGCTGGGAAAATCCACTATTTCGACTGGGCCATGTTCAATAGCTATTTTGACATAACCAGAGGGTATACATCCATTTTCCCATGGTTTTCCTATGGTTTTCCAGGCATCTCTCCGCCGCCGAGGCACGGGTGGATTTGGAGGCCTCCATTGCTCCAACCAACTCCTCAAGGCCTCATGTGTCGCTGGCGGCAGACGCCTCAGCTCGCTTGGTTCCCAACCGGTGCTCCCCGGGTGTCACTAAAGAATAGTGGATTTTCCCATTAAAAATGGTGATTTTCCATAGGAAAATGGAGGTTTTAATAGGAACACCACAGGGAAACCATAGGAAAATGGATGTACCCTCTGGTAAACTAACATAGCTATTGAAAATGACCATAGAAATAGTGGATTTTCCCATGGAAAATGGTGATTTTAACCATAGTTATGTGTATGTTTACCAGAGGGTAAGCATTATATGATCCATATATTTTTTTATAAAAGACATTTGATACTGTGGATGGAAAACCTCGAAATCCTGCACCAGTTGATAATTGGTAAACATCCCATGATATATAGGGTTTCAAATGGTTTCAACCACCCAAGGTGATGCAGGATTTCGCAACCATCCACTGTATTTAAATGGATGTTCTACTGTTTATAACAATCTTAATATCCGACATTTCAATATATCATCCATAAAGAAAAAACACATATGTTTGCATCAATCCCAAACGCTTAATCAATCAGAGATGTCCGCCGAGTTTTTGGAGCCGGCACCTGAACCGGGCTTTTGGAAGACGACTTTCCAACAAGAAAAACTCCATTGGTCATACTCTTGGATGGTACATCCATGTATATCCCCAGATCCATACAGTATGTTTGATTTTATACCTGTTACTTCTTTTATCGCAAATAATCGTATATATATATACACAGTACACAGTATATATATATATATATACTGGTTGGTTGGTGGTTTCAACCCCTCTGAAAAATGATGGAGTTCGTCAGTTGGGATGATGACATTCCCAATATATGGAACAAAAAAATGTTCCAAAGCACCAAACAAATATTACATCCCCAAAGATCACAAAATGAAAGTACCCCGGCCCCGTGTCCCAGGGCCAGTCCCTGGCTCTTCTGGGAACCGAACTGGCTCGGACCGTCTTTGGATCCCTGGCCAGATGTGGAATGGCTCATGGCCCAATATTTGTGGATTCAATATGAATCCATTAATGTCAACTATAAAATGTGAAATAAAATCATGAATGATATCTGGTTTCATACATACATTTACTTCAGAACATGATCGTGATGGTAACATCAAATTAGATAGATGTAATCACCCCCTATATGAAATACCCCAATAGAACCACCTGAGGCATGTAATTCTTGGATCTATACCATGGTGGGGGAAAGAAGTTCCGAGGATTTCCGAGGCAAAAGTCTTATGGGTCGTGGATGATTGGGGTCTCAGGCCTCGGTGCTTCTGGACTTCCCAGGATGTTTCAGCAATCAGTGATTCACCCGGGATGCCAGGATCCACTATGATGAGGTTTCTGGACTCTTGGAACTTTCAATCTTGGGTTGAACACAATTCCTCAAGAAATGTTTCAGTCATTCATTTGAAGGATATTGAGAATGTCACTTTACATAACGTAACAATTACATTCAATTACCACACACCCAGCTATTGCACGGGTTTACATCCACATCCACTCCATTCTTCCAACCCAACTCTTCAGGAAAAACTCAGCCGTACAAGTGACCCTATGTCACGGGCATTATCCGCAGCCTGGACCATTTCAGGCTGCCGGCCGCCAGTGAGACAGACCCAGGCAACCTGGCGGCTCACCCAGGTGGACCCTGGCTGATCCAGCAACAACCCAATTTGAACAGACATCTTGAACTGGTTGGGATGTTGGTGGATTGGGATGTTGGTGGATTGGGATGTTCAACTTGCGTATATATATATAATTATATATTATACTGGTTGGTGGTATACCTACCCCTCTGAAAAATGATGGACTTCGTCCATGTTCCAAACCACCAACCAGCCATAATCCGGATCTTCAGCTGTAGATTACATGGGACAATTCCAGAAATTTGCTTGGGCTGTTTGCTGACATGCTTTGACCTTCCCCGGCCGATGAGTTCCCCATTGAGCCCCTAAGTATTGGACAGCAAATTGATAGATCCAGTACTGAACCAGGGTTTCTATGGGGGTACTTGATATTGCAGCGCAAGGATATGTGGTAAGCCCAATTTCATAAACCCATCCCATTCACCATCCATTAGGGGCTCCTTTCTAATCATCCCAAATTTAGGAATATTACTAATATTACCACAAAAAAAAACATGAAAAAAAAAACCTCAAACTTGGGGATGGGTTGTTATTGGGTTTACCATGGTTTACCGGTTTACCTCATTCTTAAACTTCCAGAACGCTACAACGCTACAGCTACAAGCCAATCCGCACCAATCCCAAGGCGTAGATGTCCACAGCGGGGCTATAGCGACAGGCCGCGGGAGTGACCTGCGGTGAACACAGGGCCCAAAACAGATGCCGGTTCCAGATCCAAATGATCCAAAAGATCCAAATGGGTGTGTCTGAAAATAGTGTAGCCCTTTTTACCCAATGGTTTTGCTGATCATGAAATCCCTATTAATGGCTATTTCATTGGGAATATAGCCTATTTTCAGACAAAGCCAAATACAACATGATCTTCCAAAGCTTGATTGACATGTATGAAAAGAATTGAAAAGAGGTTTCCATATTCCATGTTAGCTTTGAGACTTGTGCTGTTTGAGATCCGAATGATAGGATGTGAAAGATTGCTTGAAGGTACCTAACATCAAAGTGCGTTAATGACAATGACACTGTTTTCTTACAGTGGGCTGCAGCAACCAAACAAATCATCAATTCTGAAAGATGGCATCTATGTGATAGCACAAGTCCACTCAAGAATAGCAAGATCATTACCATTGTTCATGACTCTCCTGAATCTAGCGCTGAAATCAGGATCTTTTGTTATTTCCCAAACATTTCCAAACAGAAACCGACCATTTGGGGCTGCTTCCCGTGGGATCTGCCCCGGAGCCTCAGGAGCGACGAAATACATCGAGCCTCAGGAGCCCCGGCGACACAAAAAATGGCTGCGACAAAAAAGTGTAAGCTGCAACGAAAATCAACAAAATGATTTTTTTTTGAAGCAAACAATTCCATAAAGTAGTCTTGTATATTTCGGCGTATATATATATATAGATAGATAGATAGCATTATATAGCTAATAAAAGTTAAGCCATGAATCAACCGAAAAAAAATGGCTAAGACTTTTCCTTCGATCATCCCTTTTTTCGCTGACCCAATCCCCATCGAAGCTCTTGTTTGTGATTCCATCTAGTTCCAGGCCAGTGGGCAGTCGGTGGTTTGTATTATCCATTTACTTCACCTCTACAGTGACTGGAATTTCATGTAGAAAAAACAATTAAAGACATCCGTAAGGGGCGTGCGTTGTCACTTCAAAACAGGCTTGAACTGAATGACATGTCAACACAAGCAAGGTCATTGAGCCCCTGTGGCACCAGACCCACGAAACTACAAGCTCCAGCACCCCTGCTCGCCTCAACCTGGCATGCGGATCGATGGATCGATGGATTCATCGCTGTTCAACCACAAACATGTGGATTCCAATGATTTTTGAATGATACATTTCGAGTTATTCGACTTATGTTGCAACTATTCAACCTACTTTCCACTTATTTTGTTCTCGTAATTCTTAGAATTGGCATCAAAGATTCAATCTTTTCCAGAAATCCGAGTGTAAGAAGGCAGTGCATGCCAAAACTCGTGTTCATGATCACCGCACCGCACTGGAATCTTTCGACCCTTGGAACAAACGATCTTTGCATAATAAAGACATGGCAAAAACATGGGAAAAACATCATGGAAAACTAGAATGATTTGGATATCTTTATGAATTCTTTATATATCTTGTGTCTTTCAACATCTTTCAACATACAATCTGTCCATGCCCAGGATGTCACATCATTCCAGCGTGGCTGCCAGGCCTTTGCCAAACCGAAATCCGTCAACTTCGCATGCCTCTGGCTCGGTTCTGCTCGGTTGGACTGGCCCCGAGGGTGTCTGTTTCAGATCTTTGGGACAAACAGGTGACCTAAAAAATGTTGGTGACCAGTCACATGATGTGACCCATAGGATCCACGTATGGTATATATGGTAACATTTATACCATCAATATACCCCAATATGTTAGCATATATACCAGCACCATGGATCCTATGGGTGATATCATTATGACGATTTACTATGGAAATTCGTGGGTTCCTCGGTTCCTCCATGTTTCATCTGAAGTTTGCATCTCAGAATCGAGCTGATCGGTTCTTCCATCTTCCGTACCAGGATGGGAGTGACTTTAAAATAAAACTCACCGCAGAGTTTCGATGCGATTTTACAAGCAGTGATCAATTGAATCAATCAACTCTTGAATTTTGATGGCCAAAATCTATCACCATTCAAAACCTTCAGCATCTGACCAGGACCTCTGAGACCTCTGAGATCTGGGCATGTTGGCATCCAAGACGATGTTCTCGGGTTTCACATCCCGGAATACCACGTCCAACCTCGTTTTTCGCCGCGGCGCATCTTGGAGTTGGTGATAGTTGGTGGCTATGGCACCAAGGGAAGCCACTGTTGCTGCGAATCATCCAGGTGTTGAGAAATCTTATCATTTCAATAAGGTTACTCCGGTGTCCCCAGTTTGCAAGCACATCAATCATCATCAATCAGCATCAATCAGCATCTCCTACTGCTTTTCTTTTGGCAGACCGTGTTGGGAAAGCCCTTTGCGGCTCCGCCCTCCGGCAGCCATGGACCAATGGAGGCCCAGTAGCTCATCATGCAAATACGCCAGTGCCAGTAGCACCTGCCGCCAGGAAATGGATGAAATGGCTGCGATACGACGGAGGTGAACGGATCCAAACAGATCCAAACAGTTTGAATTACCCTCTGGTTATTTAACATAGCCATGGAAAATGGCCCATTTATAGATGATTTTCCCATTAAAACCTCCATTTATAAGGGATTTTCCATGGCTATGGTAAATAACCAGATGGTATATACACTGGTTGGTGGTTGAGCCCTACCCCCCTGAAAAATGATGGAGTGAAAGTCAGATTGGATCATCATCCCAACTAATTATTGGGGAAAATCATCCAAATGTTCCAAACCACCAACCAGGTTTATTATATACATTCCGGATGGAAACTATGGCTGGACTATGATAATGCCTATATATAATGACTAATGAAATACAATGACTCACCAAGATACAGAAATCCACTCGCCACGTGACAGTCTCATTGTCGGTATCCAATCAACTCATGCATGCCATGTGCAGGACCAAACCAATCAATCTATATAAGTTTCCATATCCCAAAGTATCAAAACATCAAAAGTTGAACATGTTCTGTAAAATCCACAAAATTCTCAACATCAACAAAGGCTATCTGGGGATATCTGGGGGTTTAACGGTTGGTGGTTTGGATTTCGGAACCAACATATCCCGTTGAACGATTTTCCCCTGAGAGAATGCTGTGATTTCAAACACCCAATACGAAAAAACACCACCAGCATCCACGATGTCCAAGATGCATGATCCCCTGTTTCCTTGGCATCCAAAGATTCGTTGCTCCACCCCAGTCTTGCGCCAGTAAAGTCATCGTAAAACCCATATTAGTTCTACTGAAATCTCAAACTTTGGCTCGTAACTTCTTCAGATTTCACCAGCTCACCAGTTTATCATGGAACATCTATTTTTTTCATGGAAAATACTGTTTTTTTTACCAACCAAATACTGTTTTTTTTCATGGAACATCTATTTTTCTTGGGCTTTTCCCATGGTTTTCCCATGGTTTTCCCGTGGTTTTCCCCAGCAGTGAAACATCGCCTCCGCCAGCAGCCGGCGCACCAACCCCTCGCCAAGCCCGGGCCGACCGCAGCGCAGCAGCAGATCGTTGAGATTCCCATTACAACAGTACCTGGAAAGCAATGGGATCTATACAAGGTGATGCCCTACCACTTATAAGTTGGGATGATGATCCAATAATCCCAATAATGGTAACATATTCCAATGAACAATCACCATTACCCTCTGGTAAACAAACATAGCTATTGAAAATGGCCATATAAATAGTTGATTTTTCCCATTAAAAGTGGTGATTTTCCATAGCTATGTTAGTTTACCGGAGGGTATACAAGGTGATGCCCTACCACTTACCATCTGGTTTTTTAACATGGCCATGGAAAGATCCACCATTTTAAAGAGGTGTTTACCATCTATTTCTATGGGCCATTGTCCATGGCTATGTGAAATAACCAGAGGGTATAAGTTAGGTTTATAAACCATAGGAAGTACAGAGTAAGTATAGACATATCACAAACCAGAGTTATTGGAGTTATTTGCACCAACTTAGTGATTCCGAACTGGGGCACCACCTTGTACCATGACCCATGGGGCCATGGGGATCTGGGTGTATGGGACAATGTCAACCCTGGATTACCCCAAACGGCTGTTGAATTGGGAGGGTAGCATGAGAAAGTATTAGATTAATCATGACTATTGGAGGAGTACCCCCCTAATTACTCAACCATGCTTTATTAATCCGGGGTTGACATCAATATCAATGTATGTATATATATATGATCAATTATGCTGACTGATACGGTTGGAAAGTATATATTACACCAATCTAAAATGGTTGCATTGGGATTTATGACCATCCATGGGGATTTACTAAACCAAGACGCAGCGAGATGGTTTAGCTCAGCCACTCAGTAGCTATGGGTGGCTACTCCTTGGAATGTAGTGAGCAGGAAATGATATCATGTTCATACATGATTATATACATCTATAATAGATCATCTATATGTATATTATGATGATGATGATGATGATGATGCTGATGATGGTGCTGATGATGATGATGATGATGATGCTGATGATGATGATGATGATGATGATTTATGATGTTCAACTTTGTTTGCCATCTTCATAATTGATATGATGTAGCCTGGCGAACAGAACATGGGCAGAAAATGACCAGCACACACAGGAACGTAAGCAACAATCATTGAAAGAACTCTACCCGGTGCTGCAAATATCACAACAAACAACTGAACGTGGATGCCATATTTGGGCAGAACCAGGGAGCCACCCGGTATGGGCCGGGATGGGCCATATAAACCATATTGACATATTGATGCAATTCTCATTTTATAGTTCCGAACTTGGACATCTTTATAAATATCTATAATATATATATATATAGAAGTAAGGTGAATTTTGGTACCCATCAAAGAAAAATGGCTACCTTTTAAAATAGCCTCTGAATACGTTTAGAGGATTACCCCTTTCGATGGCGGCACTCCATCACCAAAGCCATCTCGTTGCCCGGCGTTCCTTGGCAGAGTCCATGATCAGACTGCCCCAAGTTTACTGGTTGGTGGTTTTAACCATCTTGAAAAATATGAAAGTCAATGGGAAGGATTATCCCATATATATCGATATATTATGTTTAGAAGATTTTGGATGGGACTGTCCATCATCAAAATAGACTCGAGTGTACATCATCATGGATTGCATCATATTGCATCTAGCATCTCAATCTCACAAAGTCCCGAAGATGTTGTCAAAAGTTGAATGGGTTCTTCCAAAATCCTCCAAAACCACCAAGCAAATCCATTTGATCTAAGGCGCTGAATGCACACAGCAATCGCACGATAAAGGGATGGCGGGCCGCTTTTAAGACCTGCTCACAGGGGTGTTCCAAGAGTCAGGTGAGGAACGCCAATCTGATTTTAAGACCAGCGTCCATCATATGTCTATGAAACTCTTGGGCGGTTGTACGGCCCATGTGCCACATCCATGTGGTCTACCATCATTGCTTCCACCCAACAATCCATGAATTCATCACTTGGTTTACCCGCCTGACGCTCTTGCTTGGCGCGCGCCAGCATATCCTCGACCAATGGATTTCAGTCTTGACCCCCAGATCTATGCAAAACACCTCTGTATACCCTCTGGTTATGACTAACATAGCCATGGAAGCCATGGCCCATAGAAATAGATGGTTTACCTATTAAAAATGGTGGATCTTTCCATGGCTATGTTAAATAACCAAATGGTAGATCAAATGATGAATCACCAATGGTCAGATATGGTCATAAGTCATAAATCATAATGATTGTTTGTGATTACTATGAACACATATCATACAACATGTTGGATGACAATTTCAAATCAATAGCTGAAACTTGGGTCTAGCCATAGAGCATGGAAACTGAGTAATTATATAATTATCTAATGATAATATATGATCATATAGAAATCTATGAAAATCCAACAACGCATAGGACATCTAAAATCCCTGAAACATACCAAATGTGACTCTTTTTAAAATAGAAATGGCTGGCAGAAGGTTCCGTTCAGTGAACCCAGTTTCAACCCACAATTTTAATGTGACATTTAAAGGGAACAATATGCAACCTTGGTGAACATCCCTTAAACGTTTTCAGAGAATACAAGTAGTCGACTTAGTCGACTTGGCTGGGATGTTCAAAAAATGTTGCGATTTTCCCTTGCCGGCTTGATCCAGAAAGCTGCTGAAGAATATTGAAGATAATTTAGATATATCCATTTATGAAGACACCTAAAATCCATCTCTTTTCTCGTTTAATTCCTTCATATTCCTTCATTTTGTTTGGTTCAATCCAAATTCAATCCCCATGCAACCACAAATTGGGTGCTACCCCAAAATCGCAATCTAAATCGTAAAAAAACGCACACCCACACATGATTTCCCCCTATTTTCACCATGGAGTTTGGAACAAACAGACCCAACCCTCGGCGACCTGCGCCAAGTATTGACGTCGGTGCAAAATCTTCAGGGCACATCGACGCTCCCCAGCACCTGCAGGATCCAGGTCAAGCGGTGCTTGCGAAATCCGATAAACCACCGTAAGAATGGTTGAAACATGGTGAAACCTTATAAATAATTTATAAACAATCATTATGATTTATGACTTATGACCATATCTGACCATTGGTGATTCATCATTTGATCTACCATCTGGTTATTTAACATAGCCATGGAAAGATCCACCATTTTTAATAGGTAAACATGGTAAACCATCTATTTCTATGGGCCGTTTTTCCATGGCCATGTTAGTCATAACCAGAGGGTAATTTGATAACACCACCATAAACCACCTATCAATACCTATCACCTGCTACATGATAAACCATTATGGGACAAGGTTTATATAGGTTTATCATGGTTTATATCATTTAACCAGTGATAAATCATGGGATCAAACCATGGATAAACCACCAACCTGGTGCAGGTATCCGGGTATCACCGGCTTCATTCGACCAACCAAGGCTGCCGTTTTTATGGCCGTGCGACCAGAACATGATGGGTTTGAAGGAAAATATTGGTGGTATCTAGTGGTTACATAGTGGGATAAATAACCAACTATTATAGTATCAACTAGTTATTACTTTGCATTACTTTACAGTACTTTACATTACTTTATTGTATAAGTTAGATATTTTACAGCATATCAAATCCAAGTTTATCCTTTTAAAAAGGGCGACAACGGCGACAAACCAGAAATTAGATCGTTGGGAACATCAGGATGAGTTGTGGTGTATAAAGCCGTTGGCGCCTAAGAAAAAGCCGAGTTCTTGTTGCGGATGTGAATTCCGCCAAGCACGGCTTTATGGAATAGCTTTTGATACATGCCCATATCATATCATATCATATCATATCTCAAGATTGAACGAAGTGCAGAAATACCAAACACGGCGATAGTACCAACATATCAACATGATGTCATCTCAATAAAGTGTGCTCCCCGCACTTTGGAATCCCGGCTCTGACATTTCTGGAATCGATCCAATGGTGAGTTGAGATTCCTCACATAGATATGGATCAAAACTTGGGGCTCCCTCAGCCCCCTCAGCACCCTCAGCACCCCAGAATACTGCGGATTTGGTCGATGTTTGGTGTTAGCCATCCAGTCTTTTGGGTTCCAATTTGGATCCTCAGATTCTCCTCATCACCAAGACGACAAAATCCGACAAAGGATCTGGTCCGATAAAGGGGTTGTTAGAGCTGCATACCTCAAGGGGCCCCAGAAGATCAATCCCCCATAAGTCCGTCTCTATGTATCCCAAACCAGATCAAATAGATCGAATAGAGAATGTTTGGGGTATGATAATATATGATGATGATAATATATGATAATATATGTATATCAAACCATCTTTAAACATTTCGGGGATGATCATGATAATATATGATGATCATGGACCTTGACTAACATCATTTTATGGTGAAGTAAGCCCTTCTCTCGGTCCCAGTCTTCCCGGAAGCCTGGTCTTAGGTCACAGGCCTGGCGGTTTGGATTGGTTTGATAGACTTACTCTCTGGTTTTTTAACATGGCCATGGAAAATCACCATTTTTAATAGGTAAACCATCTGCAAATGGGCCATTTTCCATGGCTATGTTAGTCATAACCAGAGGGTACCATCACTTACCCATGGTTCCGACATTCACTTCCCTTCCACTCATCAACAACTGGAGAGAAGCTAGATGTTCTGTAGCTAGAATTTAGACGGGAAAAACCCTTCGCAAATCAGCCCAGTAAACAAACATTGCCATGTTCATCCCTCCAGCTGACTTTGGACCATTGGAGTAAATCTTCAATTTTCAGACATCTTCAGATATCATATATATGTTGCTTGTTTATAATCCTTATATTATATATCAACTTATATCAACTTGTATCCCCAGGATCCCATTAAACCACCATGGTTCCCCAGCTCCGATCCCGCCTCGTAGACACTCCCAAAGCTGCCTTCGCCGATGAGCCCCACGATGCGGAAGGAGCTCAGCTTGTAGTCCTGCTAAAAACCAAGGTAAGAAGGTAAGACAAAGTGACAAAATGTGGAGATTCTCATGAGATTTTGAAGAAAACATGTGATTCTTCGTGGGGATTTAATATATTTAATGAAGTATGATTGGGGATATACTGGGAATCTAACCAACAAAATGGGGAGTTCATGAAAAATATTTCATGAGGATCTGAGATCTGATGTGTCATATTTCTTCATGACAATCATTGAAAAATCATGGTCATAATCCACAGGAATCCAAACATAATGGCTATATATTAAGCACATTTAAGCACTATGTGTTGGATTGATGACCACCTTTGTAGTCTCCATGGCTGGATGCTGTTGGTCAAGATCGCCACCATGGTTACTCCACATCGACCATGCTGACTACCAATGCGCCAATTCTTTTGGTCAATATCTAAATTCCCGTTGCCAGCACTGACTATCGCACATCCATCATGGTAAAGCATGGTAAAGCATGATACCATCAACAACTATTATGATATATAATGGAATATAACATGATAACATAATACATAACATGGATACATAACTTAAACTCTCATTGGCCGGAAACATTTGAACAACACAACCCAGAAACAACGGTGACCCAAACACCCTCTCGTCTCCAAATCCACAAACAACGATCCGCTGAGGGAACAATCCAAACTCGTGGATGGAACTGGTTAGGACATGGACTTCTCCAGTCTAAATGCTATACTCCAGGTATATTATGGTATATTTATCCTGTGAATTTAACTAAATCCAGTTTCCAGTGTTAAACAAATCCAAGTATAATGCAGGTATATATAAATGCCATAGCCAGTTAAATTAACAGGATTCCAAACACCTTTTTGTCACTAAAAATCTCATCATTGTTGCTTAGCGCACCATCGTTGGTGATAAAATTATATACCATCTACCACTATCAATAACTCCGCACGTTCAAATGATTCTCCACTCTGCTCTTACCTTGACAAAGGTCTCCATACAACTTCAGGGGTGCAGTTCCAGTTATAAGTGGATATATAACCATAGTTTCCATAGTTCTAGGGTGCTATAGGATGTTTCAGGAATATACAAGGGTTTTTAATGTAAACAAAAACAATCAAAAACACATAGTAATCATAGAATTGAGGATTTAACAATATTTAACATGTAAAAAAATACCAAAAAAAAAACGAGCAAAACCAGAAAAGTCAACCCCGGCCATCCCCCAGCACCAACTGGCACCCCAGTTGCCCCACCTTCTCCGAATCCGATGACACCGCAGAGCCCATGACACTCCGCCCTGGCCGGCGAGCCGCGCCCGCTGCCAGACGGCGTAGGGCCTGGGCATGGAGGACGGCCGACGAATCTTCTGTAGGGCCGATTTTGGAGATGTTTCCAAGTATTTTTGGAAAGTTTTTGGAGTTTGGTGCTTGATATTTGATGTAATTTGTTGCTTCACAAATGAGTTTTCAATGAGTTTCAAATGGAAAATGTGGAGATTTCTACACAGAAACTCTGCCAACAAACATGGGATGGCTGGATGGCTGGTGATTCATGTCCGTCGCGACCTGGATTGCCGGGATTTCCCATTGACATCTACCCCGGCTTTCCTTAAGGAACGACGAAACTGTGCAAGTCACTAAGTCCAAGGTTCAAAGAGTAGACAACATAGTTATCTGGTTGGTATACCTACCCCTCTGAAAAATATGAAAGTCAGTTGGGATAATTACTCCCAATATATCGGAAAATAAAACATGTTCGAAACCACCAACCAGTTATAGCTGACTGATGCTGGTGACTTGTGTCATGTGCATATGGACATATATGGACCATGCTGAACTGGGATTGCAATAGAAAGTGGCAACAGTAGGCAAAACATGGCAAGACCATCAAAACCCTGTGCCATGCACTTCTATCTACAAGTCCTGCTTGGCTTACGATTGGGATTCACACACTTTATGGTGATCAGGTAGTACGTCATCATTCATACTGAAACATCCCATGCAAGCATAACACTCACTTGGAAGTTGAACATCTCATCTGTATTGGCTAATGGACGTGCTTAATATCTCGGGAGTCTCTATGATAGATCTTTGGCATAGTATTTGCTGTAGGTCCTATTAACCAAGATCCATACCCCTTAGTGGTTGAATAATCATTATCTAATCATGTTTTCCTTGTTTATACTGCTGAGTAAATGTATTTTTTTCGGCAAATGGATTGGTGATTACACGCAAATGAAGTGTGGTTAAACGTGCAGATGGTATACAGCAAATGTTCCATTTCTGGGACGACAGAGTCGGCCAGAAAAAAAAAAAAACTCTTCCCCGTGACGGTTCCAATCCAGGTCAACCTAAGCCACCTCCCAATACCAACTGGCATCAGAACGATCACGGGATTATCATGACATATTATGATCCTTGTTCAAATATCTCTTTTCACCAAAAAAAAAAATATCACCAGCAGTGGCATATGGCAGTGTGTCAAAACCTTGTACCCCTGTAGTTCACATCAAAATAGCTGGGATTTATGGATGTTCATCCCAGTAAAAATGTATCTATAGGTATTGATTCATAGCCATATCACCGGAAGTGGCAACAAAAAGTCGTGTGTGTTCTTTGTGTTTTCACCATCCCTCAGCTTCTGCCAAGTTCACCCCAGGAGATGCCACCGCCACCAAGGAAGCCAGACCTGGGCGATCCAAGGCGATTGAAAAAACCCGCTGCTGGCAACCTCGGTTGCCACTACGCGACGCTAAGGATCCCATAGGCAGAACGTAAGGGGCGTCATTTTTGATGGTCTCAAAATGTCAATTTACCCTGCGTTGAAAACAGTGTAGATTGGATGTAGATTAGTTGACTTAGTTCCTAACAGATTTCAATCCGTTTCGAAAAAACTTCAAACTACACAAAGTGTCAAAAAAATATGATTCACTGCATTTCACATAACCAAATCCAGCATAGCTGGATGCTCATCAAACATGCTTCACATTTTGGTCCCATCATGTTTCATTAGAGGTACCCATCACCAACTTCGCACTCAAAATTGATCAAATCCTGAAAAAAATGGATGGTTTCGGATCTGGGATAGAAGTCCCGCCTGTGATCTTCACCGATCGGGTACCTGGCAAAAGAATGTCACGGCATGAGCAAAAACTTGGACGTGGTCCACGTGATGTTAGTCCAACTGATATATATATATATATTATATATAACATATATGTGTTTTAAACGAAGCGACATGACATGATGGTCTGCTTTTGATGCTACTATCATGGTTCAATACTTGATATAAACTGCAAATGGGAAAGACACATGTCATGAACATTTCATAGCATTTCTGACCTTTGAAAACCTGAAAGTGAACAAGGACACCCCCCAAAATGGAGTGTGACGCGGCACACGGCATTCGACACGGAAAATGTGGGGCTTCATGGCAGTTCTCCATCACAATCCCACAGAAATATCCCCCTTTTCACCAGAATCAGGACCAGTCATGAACACCCAAAACAAAAAAAAATACGGCACATCTCGGACTTTTATGACAAGTCTACCCTCTGGTTATGACTAACATAGCTATTGAAAATGGCCCATTTATAGATTGTTTACCTATTGAACATGGTGATTTTCAATAGCTATGTTAAATTACCAGAGGGTATGACCAATGTTTCATAAATCACCATTGAATCACTGAAAAAAATGGTGAAATCCAAAGGTTTTTTGTGGGTTCTATGTCCAATACATCGATGGCATCTTCCATTTAAGATGGAACCATGGAGTATTCATTGGAATCATGAACAATCAATATTCCAATGTTATTCCATGGATTTAATATTCCATGTTATTCCAATATTATTCATGTAAGATGGATCACATATAATTGAGTTAATGTTATTTAAAGTACATCAGAATAATTATGGAATATTCAATGTACTATGCCATCATTATAAATCAATATTCCAATGGCACTTCGTATCACCATGAAAAATCACCATTAATTCCAAGGCTGAAAAATCACCATGATGAAATCCCCATTCCCTCCGATCCATCATGATGAAATCCCATGAACAATCACCATAAAAAATCACCATTAACATATCTGGTTGGTGGTATACCTACCCCTCTGAAAAATATGAGTTCGTCAATGGGAAGGATGACATCCCATATATATATATATATCCATCCCATATATTATGGAAGAAACATGTTCCAAAGCACCAACCAGATATCTCATTAACCATTATTAACCATTATTAACTACTATTAACCATCATCATTAACCATTAATATCCCATTGGTTAATATACCATTAATATATTACCATCCCACTACCATTTCCACAAAGGTTCCATGGGCTCCACATGTCCGCTGTCAGCACCCACCTGGTTGCAGCGCAGCTTGTCGAGCCAGTGGACTGCGAGACGGACCTAGGACGCACTGACAGAGGGGATCAAACTTAACCTGTATGGAGATATCACGGGGCAATATTTTATGATATATATATATATGTATGATGTATGATATGTTATTATAATATAATATAATATAACATAATATAATATAATATAATATAATATATATATATATATAGTAGATCCATACATACATATTTCATAAATATGGTATTAATACCATTCTATAAAAGCCCAACAACATCATCTTTGGCACTTACTGAAATGGGGGACGGATGGAATTGCCTTTTCCATGTTTTCTCATCATTATCAGGTACCAAACCAAACCCATCCACAATCGAAGTCAACTATTTTGGGCCATTAAGTTTCAATGTCAAGCCTGTCAAACCTGAATCTAAGCACAGCACTCAACCAGGAATAAAACATGGAAACACAACAAACAGTGTTGAAATCACCAAAATCATTCATGATGCTGCAAGCGTCCAAACATCAACGTAGGAGCTTGTCTGATTCTTGTCAGACCCTTTGGGTTTGAGCGCTTTGGAAGGACCTGGTTGCCCACATGCTGGCAGTACGCGATCAAAAAGTGTCACTTTAGTTTTTAAAGTGTACCTTCCTTAAACAAGGAAACTCGTTGGCGGTGTCAAACCTGGAAAGAAAAAAAACATGGTCAACAGGGAACATCAATGAACATCATCTTAACTATACATGGAAACTAACAACTTCTGAAATTGCCAATCAGCAGATTGTTGGTGCGTGGTGGTGCACGCTCCAGCTGTAAACTCCCACATTATTTTAGTAAATCCCAGATGGAGTGAGATGAAAATTCGAATGCTAGCTCTCTTGGAGGCCATGAATGGTAGTCCTGAAGGAGGCATTGAAGGCCGGCAATGTGGGATAGCACTGAAGAATAAATGGTTGGAGAACGAATGTGGAAACAGGAATCCTTGATCTAAACCCAAGTAGCCACTAGCCTGCTGTTGTCAGTCAAAAAATAATCCTTTTGAAACTCGATAATGACCTGAAATTGTGTGTTTATTATTGTTCTGGCCAATCTCAAATACCATGCAACAGACTTTTTGCTTGGCTGGCTAGAACATATCCCAAATCAACCGGTGAAATATTTTTCAGTAATACAAGACCCAACACCAGTCGAAATCAACTCAATATGCCAATATCTGTTTCTGGCTCCCCGACTGGATCTGCTGGTCCCCTCGGTGAGTACCTGAGAATTTTCAACTGGATCAGAAGGATCATCAGAGTAGAACCCCATGGGGTTTGACTTTTGAAGTCCTGGATTTTCCATGATTATCCCATCTAAAGATCCATTTCGAACTTGGTTACAAGATGATACAAGCCCACATACACTGACCAGCTTCTAAATCTATAGGGTCGTCCTCCAAGTATTTAGCAGGGTCTTTTTTGCTGGAGGGGATGGCATATTTTGACCAAGGAACCACAGCTTTGGGAAGGGACTTTAAGGGACGTTGGATGATTGGGGATGCCTCATTTGAAAATGAAACATGCTGATCTTTGCAGAGCCGGAATCTGCAGTGCATGATGGATTTTATATGATTTTATACCCTCTAGTATCCTCTGTTACCTCTTCACACGTTTTCACGAAAACGGACATGGCTTCCATGGCAAACTGCAACAAAGTTATACAGGTTCTATCCCACAGGTTGTAACCCAGTTATATATTGCAGTTGTAGCCCATAGGCTACTGCAATTAATCGCCCCTTTTCAGTGGAAAAATCCCCCATTGATTGTCACTATGATTATCCGATTATTCTCAATTCTCAATGTATTGGGATTCAGATATCATACGGATTCAATGATCAATAACGTTTTTTCAGCTATTTCCCAGTTATATCAGTTATATCTCCCATAGGATCCTGTAGTATCATGTAATATCATAATATCCCATGATTTCCCATTAAAATAACCCATGATTTCCATGTTTTAAACATGGACTTATTTGGTGGACTTATTTGGTAAAAAATTGGTGTTGCCCTAGTAACATGGTTAGATCATGATATCCCCATGAAAGATCCCGTCGTTTCGACGATGCTTCCCCCGAGCTGAACCAGGTGACGCTTGCAGCCGGATGCCTCGGATCTTCGGAATTTTCACAGAGATTGATCCAGGTCCAATAGCAACGCCATGGATGAGACGTAAGATAAACCAGCTATATATAGCTATGATACATGATCATAATATCATAGTTATATCATAGTTATATCATATGTCCAAATATATTCCAAATATCATTTATCATCATTTATCCAGGTCTAAACTTCTCTGACATATGATATTTGGACAGGCAAAAACCACTAATATTGTCCAGTGGATAATCCAGCTATATAGTTATATATACATACATATCTGGGTAAATTATAATAATTCACTAACCTGAATCTTGCGGCCAGTTGGGGATGATTCCCCAAATCCTAACCATGATTCCAGGGCTCGGGAGAACAGTGAGGTCGTGATAATTTACCAGAAACATGGAATATCATGGATTTATGGAATATCACGGATTTACAACTGGGTGGTGGTGCAATAACCACCTTGAAAAATATGAAAGTCAATGGGAAGGATTATCCCATATATTATGGAAAAATAAAAAATGTTCCAAACCACCAACCAGTGTAAGATAAACATGGAATATCACGGATTTACAATGATGGATGTGAATTATGTCTAGATCATTGCATGTCACCTAGTGGAAGGCAATGGAACAGAGTTGAACAAAATGAAACAGAATCTACTATCATTCAGGTGATATACCACCAATACTGGCCAATACTAGTATAATGCACTACGGTTTGTCCATATTTAACGATCAACATAACTAGAAATATCATGCAATATACCAATAATCCAGGTAATCACTGTTTCACAAATACGTCCTTTATTTTGACCATTACCATCTTCAAGTGATCCCCACCAACTGACATTCTATCTGACACTGACATATACTTTGACATCATCTGGAATTATATATGGCACATATCATACATTGACATTCTATCTGGCATTCTAACTGAAATACTCTCGAGATGGATGTGCGAGTCAATCCGCAGGCCGCAGCCAACAACTGAAACGACAAGCATGGCCGGTGGATATTCACAGCAATGAATCCCTTTCCTCATTGAAATACCCATGACGGTCATGACGGGACCCCAAAACGAAGAGATCCAATACGAAACAATGATTTCTGATCTGGCTATTTCAATGTATTTCATATGTGAAACCAAGCAACAAAAATAGGAAGACATTATATAATATAAAATTATATAAAGAAATCTCATTTATTTAACATAGCCATGGAAAATGGCCCATTTATAGATGGTTTTCCCATTAAAACCTCCATTTATAAGGGATTTTCCATGGCTATGTTAAATAACCAGAGGGTACCACTAGTAGGATTTTACCCTTCTACTTCTTTGGGGGTCGCTTTTTTGGGGAAGGGATTGATCATGCAACGTTGGAAGATGTTGGAACCTGGGGCACCCCAACGACACGTGAGAGAACCGCAAGGCGCCACCACGGGAGGCCTGTGGAGACAGGCCAACCTCTGGTAATTTCATCCATATAGCGATGAAGAACTACCTGGTAATTCACGGCTAAATCATGTCCAAATGATTTAAATGGGTCTTCTGTTAAATTTCCAGAGCGTAACAACGAGAATCTGGTTTGTGACTCGTTAAACGTGGGCAGATGTGGGCATCTGAAGATCATCACGATCCTAATCCCATGTTTTTATATGTTTCAGTCATTGCCCTAGGAGGATCGTGCTCACCACTAGGAGGTTGGGTTTGTTAGATGCTGCCTGAGACCCCCACCAGAAATGCAGAAATGGCTGGTATAAACTTCACCAGCCGTTTCTGCTAGGCCATGGAGTTCACTATGCCAACAGTTGGCAACCTTGTCACCCAAGTGACCCAGCTACCCTCTGGTAAACTAACACTTTGCTGACTAGAAAATCACCCATTGATCAAAGGTAAATCAACTATGAATCACCATGTTCAATAGCTATGTTAGTCATTATCAGAGGGTAATATCATCCAATATCATCTCATATCATCTATTTTATTGTTCATCTAATTTCATCCAATATCCTCTTTTTAATCCTCTGACGAATCGTCTTATACAATCATAATCTCATATCATCTAATATCATCCAATATCATTTACCCTCTGGTAATTTAATATAGCGAACTGGAAAATCACCATTTTATAGCTGGGAAAATCCATTATTTCTATGGCCATGTTCAATAGCTTTTTGTATGTTTACCAGAGGGTTAACATCCATTTTCCTATGGGTTTTCCTATGGTTTTCCCATTAAAACCTACATTTTCCTATGGTTTCCAGAGGGTACCTCTATATCATATTCCCCTTCACGCCTCGGCCAACAGCTCGTCCAAAGCACTTTCCGGAGCCGTGAGCACAGGCACGTCCAACCTCGGTTGTCATGGGGATCTTCTGGGGGTCCACTTGGGTTATCCCCAAAGAACAGACACAATCTGCTTGGTTTACTGGGTAAATGACCATGAAATGACCATTTATAGTGGATTTACCAATAAAACAAGATGAAGCCCACGAACCCGAATGCTCACACGTATGTTAATGGTACAGATGTCAAAACAGATGGTTATGCGGTCACGCACAATATCTTTCGGCAATAGTTTATATTTCAACAGTCTTGTACATGTTTCCCTTGTTACCAGTCTGCAGTATGGGGTGGAAAGTGTAGAGTGTGGAGTGTGGAGTGTGAAGTGAAGAAAGGAGTGTGGAGTGTAAAGTGTGGAGTGGGGAGTGTAGAGTGTGTAAAGTGTAGAATGCGGAGTATAAAGTGTAGAGTGTGGAGTATGGAGTGTAAAGTGTAGAGTGTGGAGTCTGGAGTGTACAGTGTGGAGTGTAAAGTGTGGAATGAGGAGCGTAAAGTGGAAAGCGTGGAGTGTAAAGTGTAAAGTGTGGAGTGTAAAGTGTAGAGTGTGGAGTGTAAAGTGTGGAGTGTAAAGTGTGGAGTGTGGAGTGTAAAGTGTGGAGTGAGGAGTGTAAAGTGGGGAGTGTGGAGTGTAAAGTGTGGAGTGTGGAGTGGAAAGTGTGGAGTGTGAAGTGTGGAGTGTAAAGTGTGGAGTGTGGAGTGAGGAGTGTAAAGTGTGGAGCGAGGAGTGTAAAGTGTGGAGTGTGGAGTGTAAAGTGTGGAGTGTGGAGTGAGGAGTGTAAAGTGTGGAGTGTGGAGTGTAAAGTGTGAAGTGTAAAGTGTGGAGTGTGGAGTGTAAAGTGTAGAGTGTGGAGTCTGGAGTGGAAAGTGTAGAGTGTGGTGTGTAGAGTGTGGAGTGTGGAGTGTAAGGTGAGGAGTGCAAAGTGTGGAGTGTGGAGTGAGGAGTGTAAAGTATAAAGTGTGGAGTGTGGAGTGCACAGTAAAGTGTGGAGTGTGGAGTGCGGAGTGTGGAGTGGAAAGTGTGGAGTGTGGAGTGTGGTGTGTAAAGTGGGGAGTGTGGAGTGAGGAGTGTAAAGTGTAAAGTGTGGAGTGTAAAGTGTGGAGTGCGAAATGTGGAGTGGAAAGTGTAGAGTGTGGTGTGTAGAGTGTGGAGTGTAAAATGTGCAGTGTGGAGTGTAGAGTGTAAAGTGTAGAGTGTGGATTGTAGAGTGTAAAGTGTAGAGTGTAAAGTGTAGAGTGTGGAGTGTAAAGTGTAAAGTGACGAGTGTAAAGTGTAGAGTGAGGAGTGTAAAGTGTGGAGTGAGGAGTGTAAAGTGTGGAGTGTGGAGTGTGGAGTGTGGAGTGTGGAGTGGAAAGTGTGGAGTGTAAAGTAAGGAGTGTGTAGTGTAAAGTGTGGAGTGTGGAGCGTAAAGTGTAGAGTGTGGAGTGTGGAGTGTACAGTGTAGAGTGAGGAGTGAGGAGTGGAAAGTGTAGAGTGTAGTGTAAAGTGTGGAGTGTGGAGTGTAAAGTCTCAGGTGAGGAGTGAGGAGTGCAAAGTGTAAAGTGTGGAGTGTAAAGTGTAGAGTGTGGGGTCTAAAGTGTAAATTGTGGAGTGTGGAATGTAAAGTGTAGAGTGTGGAGTGCGGAGCTTCCTCCATAGACACGGCGACGCCACAGGAAAACCAGAGACTCGAGACGAGACACGTGGGTGCAAAAAACGAGCATTTCGTGCGAGACTTCCTCCAATTTTGATATTTTCCACATGTTATCAAACAGGTTGGAATGTCACAAAGTGCCACGCCTGCCACGCAAAACGACAGGACAACCTGCTTGGAAACATTCGAAAAGGTAAGGTTTTCCAGCTTCCCCCATAGACACGGCGACGCCACAGGACAACCATTCGACTTAGACAAGGACACGTGGAATTGAGAAAAACAAGCAGTTCGTACGAGACGTACCTCCAATTTTGACATTTTTGACACATTATCAAGCAGGTTGGAATGTCACAAAGTGCCACACCTGCCACGCAAAACGACATGACAACTTCCTTGGAAACCTTCGAAAAGGAGTGGTTTTGCGGCTTCCCCCATAGAACGAAAACCAGAGACTCGAGACGAGACACGTGGGAGCACCAAAAAACGATCATTTCGTACGAGACTTCCGGCGATTTTCACAGTTGGCAACATAACAAAAGGACAGGTTTTGCAGCTTCCCCCATAGACACGGCGACGCCGCGGGAAAACCAGAGACTCGAGACGAGACACGCGGGAGCACCAAAACGAGCATTTCGTACGAGACTTCCTCCAATTTTGACACTTTGCAGCTCCAAAATCGACGTTTTCCTACGAGTTTTCCTTAGAACCTGAAAATTTGTAACATCAAAATCGATGTTTCGTGCGAGGCTTCGTATTTTCAGCAATGGGGGTTGTTCAAAATTACTTCATCCACAATAGACCCTATCGCCGGCCAATCGCAGTCCAACCGCGGTCCCAGTAATGCCAACCGCGGGACCTTTTTTTGAACATATCTCCTCCAAAAAGAAAGGAAAGAGAAAGGGAAACACAAGAGAGACGGAAGGGAATCTTTTACGTTTGCACGAACGGCACAGGCACGGTTATCCCTCTGACGTTTTATCAGAGGAGCTGGATTCGGAAGAGGACGAACTTGAACTTTCACTTGCCGTGGCGAGGCTCTTCTTGTGGTTCCACCTCTCCCTCCGCCTGAGCAATTTGTTTGCCTGCTTCCGGGCTGTTCTGGCCCACTTCTCTTCCAAGTTGGGAGGCAGCATCCGTCTACTTTTGTGATCTTCAAACCTTTTCATGATGGTGTCGCTGTCTCCGTGTGCAGGCTTCTTCTTGTTCCACCGAGTGTTGGAGAAGTAGCCGCGTCGCCATTCGCGATCAGTCAGGTCTTCCCAGTCTATCTTGGGGTACGATTTTCGTTGGCCTTGCCCGAATGCGTCAACAAAAGTGTGATCCTCGAGCGATGTATTCCGAATCACCAGACGTGGATTTCCTGGTTGCAGTAGCAAACAATAGGTTTTGGAGATTTGGAATTCTGGCTGTGGAAAAATATACCGGCCCAGCGGCTTTGTCTCTGGCTCCCACCGTACCACTACAAAATGCGTTCGTTGTTGCGTTGCTCTGCTGGCATAGGTGCGCAAAACCTTCTCCATTTCATCAATGGTGGCAATGCGGCTTCCAGCTTTCTTCAAAAAATCGCGAAGCCATCCTTCAATTTGTCCGAATAAACCATCCACCTGGCCCTTTCCATGCTTTTCACCGAAAAAGCAGAGACGGACAGTCA